GCTCAACTGACTGAGCCACCTAGGTGGCCCTGCATAGACCAGTTCTTTAAAAAGTTCTCAAACTTGTTTTTTGGCCTGGTAAGTTTTGACATAAATGTTTTACGGCAAACTGCCAGGAATGTAAGTAATTCAGTTGTTGGGTATGGGGGGTCTACATGTGTTTATTAGATTAAGCTTGTTAGTTGTACTGTTCAGATCTTCTATATTTCCATTGCTATCTTTTATGATTGACCTATTAATTATTGATACAGATGTATCAAAGTCCCCATTATGGTAGTGGATTTCCTGGGACTCCTTGCAGTCCTGACAACTTTAACTTTGAGTATTTTAAAGCTGTGCTATGAGACCCATAGAACCTTCAATTATTAAATCTCAATGAAGCTAATCTTCTATCCACGTGTGTATCCTTATCACAGTAGTGCTTTTTGCTTTAAAAATCTAAGTTGTCTGATATGAATATAGTCATGCTACCTTTGTATTGGTTAGTATTTGCTTAGTAAATATTTTTACATCCTTTGACTTTTAGTCTTTCTCTCTTTTTTTAACGACTTTGGCAGTGGTGTGCTGGCAGATGCTTAACAATGAGCTCCCCTGGGAGGGGAGTGGAGTCTGATTTCTAGCATCTACTGGTTTCTGTTGTGTCAACGCTCCCCCCTGGGTTTCAAGATAAAATGCAGGACACCCAGTTAAATCTGAACTTCAGATAAGCAAGGAATCATTTTTTATATAAATACATCCCAAACATTGCATGGAACATGCTTGTATTTAAAAAGTATTTGCTATTTATTTGAAATTCAAATTTAACTGGTTGTCCTGTATTTTTACTTGCTAAATCTGGCAATCCTACTCCCACCAACATGTCATTGACTGCAAAGTTGGGAAGAAATGTTCATAATCAACTGGTTTTAAAATAACTTCTATTAAAACATAATTCCCACATTACACAATTCACCCATTGAAATGGACGGTTCATCAGTTTTAATATATTCAGATTTACACACCTGCTACCACAACCCTCAATTTCAAAGATGTTCATCACCCAAAATGAACCCTTGTACTTATTAACATTCACTAACCTCCAACCATCCCCCTGTTCCTGTCCTAGGCAACTGCTGATTTATTTTCCATCTTTATAGATTCGCCTCTTCTGGACATGACACATAAGTGGAATCATACAATATGCTGTGTGTGTGTGTGTGTGTGTGTGTGTGTGTTCTTTCACCTAGCACATGTTTTCAAGGTCCATATGTGTTAGTAGCATGTATCAATATTTCATTGTATAAATATACAACATTTATTTATCCATTTATCAATTGATGAACATTGATTGTTTCCACGTTGGGGCAATTATGAAAAATGCTGCTGGAACAGTCAGTTCTTGTGAGCTGTAAGAGCCCTAGTACCCCCACCACTGCCCTCCCACCACCGACCCCCAACTTCCCCCAGTTGAGGTGTTTCTTAGAGGTGGCATAGGGTGCCATATTATAATCACCTATTACTTATCTCTGTCTCCCTCTAGCTGATCAGCTACACAAAAAGGATACTGTTCTCTATAATTACATTTCCTAATGCAGTTGCCTGATATTTGATGTTTAATTAATACTGTGTGCGTGAATGAAGTACAGTATGGTGGTTAAGAAAGACAACTTTCTGAGTCATTTAAATCTCACCTATGCCACCTATGTAAATGCAGAAAAGTGAGTAGGTTAACGTATCTAAGACCTGTTTTTTTTCCTGGTAAGACGTGAAGGACACTGGCACCTTCTTTAGTAGGATTTTATGAGCATTTACCATGTGCCTGGCATATTTTAGTACTCAATAACAGATAGTTACTGTGACTTGTGTCAGACATTGATAACCCATCAGATCCAGTGATCTCCCAATTCCTCAGCCATAGTCATCCCCTTCACAAAGTGTGGTGGGACCACCACAGGTCCCAGAACCACCTTTGGATTTGTGATCACCCAAAGCTACTTCATTGCAGATAAACTGAACTCCCAGATTCTAGTTTCTGATAACAACCTTACTCAGGGAAATTGCATAACCAACATTGAGATTGTTCTTTTCAAAAACAAAAAAAAGCCAGTTTAGGAAGAAAATACTATCTAGTTATCATATGTACTTCTGTTCTGATTAGCAAGGTAGAATGTTTTCAATTGATTGGAAATATGCGTTTCTTTTGTGACTTTTTATGTCTTTTGCTCATTTTCTACTTGTATGTTAATCTCTGTCCTTTGCATTTGTAGGAGCACTTAATGTATTAGGAATATTAATTCTTTGTCCAGGATATATTTTATAACTGATTTTTCCAACTTTGCCTTCATCTTTTAGCTTTTCATGGTACTTTAAAACATATAGAATTTTTCTTATTTCTAGGAAGTAAAAAATATCAATTTTGCCTATTAAAGTTATATGACTTAGAATGTGAAATTCCCACATGTTTTCACTTTCTGCCCACTCCATGAAAACCACTGGTAATGATTTAGTATATCCCCAAAACACATGTATTTATATTCAATATATACCACCAACTGTCTGCTCTTTTCCACTCTTAATGCTGCCAACTGGTCTAGGCCACCATTATCTCTTGCCTCTCTTCCTCCCCTTCCTCTCTAAGTCATTGTTCATATAATAGTCAGAATGGTCATATTTAACATAAATGACTCTTTTCTAAACATACACTAGCATACAGGTCATTAACACACAGTGCATACATAAGATTCAGCTCTCTGTTCTATTCTCACTTAACAATTTATGTTGAACTTCTGTCTTCAGATGTTGCAGTAGTATTCAAAACTAAGTTTAGCTACTATACTTGAACGTTTTACCATTCTGCCACACCAAAGACCTTAAATATATATATATATATATATATATATATATATATTTGATATTTAAAGGGCTTCTTAATTTAATTTTTAATTAACTTTTTATTATAGATAAAATTTTAAGATCTATTTGTTTTAGAGAGAGAGTGTATAAGCAGGGGAAGAGGCAGAGGGAGAGGAAGTTTTCTTAAAAGATTTCCTTGCTTATCTGAAATTCAAATTTAATTGGCATCCTGTATTTTTACTAAATCTTGTGGCCCTATGCCTGTCATTGGTCCAAGGTGGCTGTTCCAGCTGTAGTTTTCTTTCAGTCATGGGAAGGAGGAGCATATTTCCAGTTCTAAGGGAGAGTTTAAGGGCAGAACCTGGACATGTCACATATTTCTACTTTTATCCCATGGTCCCTGAGTCACATGGCCTCACAGAGCTTCTAGGGATGCTAGAAAATGGAGTATTTGGCTGGGCAGGTAGCTGGCCATCTAAAACCCTATTTCTATGGAAGAACAGAAAAATGGTTATCATGGAACAACTAGTGGCCTGACACAGATAACAATCCCTCCATCAGATACAGTCACCAGAGGTACCCAACCCATTTCCCCATTCCAACCCATGGATGGGCACGTGACCCAAACAGGGCCATTCGGCAATTCTGTCTCTGAGACTGAAATGTTGAGCAAAATGATACAGAGACTTCCAATAGTCCATTCATCCTGATTATAGTGACCTGAGGAATTTAAACATTATGGATTTATGTTATTCAGATCTCTACTAGAGTTTTTCTGGTTCCTGAGCTTGTCCTGAGCCTTCCCAGATCCAGATTGTCCTTGCATGCTCGAAGATTTCTACCCCCCACCCCTTAAGTTACTCAGAATTGTTTTCTGTGACTAGCAATCACAGAACTCCAACTGATCAAAGGTCAAGTCTGGATGGATTTCAAGGTGAGGAGAAATAAAACCAGTTCCCCACCCCTGTGGATTTCTGTCTAAGCACATTTCACTTCAGCATTGCAATCTTCAGGCTTAAAAGTAATAAGGCAACTATAATATCAAAGACAGTAGCTTAAACAGAGAAAGAAATGAAAATGAAATCTGATAAAGCTAATATTAGCATTTCCTCTGTGCCTCCTTGAGGACATTACTGATTTCTCTAATATTTGCAGCTACTCTTCGCTTCGTTAAGTGTTATATGTATTATCTCATTAAACGCTTGCAGCAACAATAATAAGGCATTCTTATTATTCCCATTTTGCAAATGGCGAAAATGGGGCTTAGAAAGTTAAGTGACTTGCCTAAGGTCATATAACCAGTAACAGTTGTAACTAGTATTCAAAACTAAGTTTAACTCCTACACTTGAAATTTTTACCATCTGCCACACCACAGACCTTAAAAAAAAAATATTTGATATTTAAAGAGCATCTTAGTTTAATTTTTAACTAACTTTTTATTATAGAAATTTTTTGTTAAATATTTATCTATTTGTTTTAGAGAGAGAGTGCACAAGCAGGGGGAAAGGCAGAGGGAGAGGAAGAGAGAGAGAGAGAGAAGCAAACTCCCTGCTGAGTGGGGAGCCCGACTCAAGGCTCTGTCTCAGGACCCCAAGATCGTGACCTGGGTTGAAATCAAGAGTCAAACGCTTAACCAGAGCCACCCAGGCGCCCCACAGAAAGTTGTACATGTGTAAGAATAGAACAGTATAATGCAGCATCCCCATACCCATCGCCTAGCTTCACTGATCATTCCCATCCTACCTTTTTTTTTTTTTCATGGATCCTCTCCTCAAATTCACACTTCATTTTCCTTTATCTTACAGTATTTAAAAATGAATCCCAGACATCCTATCTCATCACCTATAAATGCCTTACAATGTTTCTCTAGTGTATAAGAACTTAAAAGAAAAAAGCATAATAGCATTATCATGCCCTCCCAAATTCATAAACATTCCTTCATACATTTAATATCCAATGCAAGTTCAACTTTCCCTGATTGTCTCAGAAATATCTTTTTACAGTTGTTCTAATAAAAATTCAAATACGGGGCACACATTACATACTTAGACATTTTCTTAGGTTTCTTTTAATTTATGACAATTCTCCTTCTCTGTTTTTCTTTTAAGCCATGTGTTTGTTGAAGAGAAAAAGGGATTTTGTTCTGTGGGATTATTTTTTCTTTTCACATCAGATGGGTAAGGTACCAATTATGTTGTGACAATGTCTGAGGGAGGCACATTTCACATGGTGGCTGAACACCCAGTCATCACACTTGTGAGCAACAAAAGGTTCTGTCCCGTGGCATTGCTAATACTCTGAGTTGGCTGATGGCATCCTCCTGGTGTCATTAGCAAGTTCTTCCATCTCCCATCTTTTCCATCATCTGCCAGTTAGTTCAAGAGGCTTGATTAAATTCAGGTTCAAAGTTATTATTATTTTTTTGTTTTGGAAAGACTACTCCATACGTGTAATAATTACTTTTTAACTAAATGGTGTAACTGCTCTATTAAATGTGCTCAGTCAGTGACTAAAATTAGGAAAACAGCTTTTCTTCTCCCACCTCTGCCTTTGTTTTATTTTTTAAATTTTGTTTATTTATTTATTTATTTATTTAGGGCACAAGCTGGGGGGAGGGGCAACAGGAGAGACAAAGAGAGAATCTTAAGCAGGTTCTATGTTCAACACAGAGCCTGACTCGGGGCTTGATCTCATGGGGCTGGATCTCACAACCCTGAGCTCAAATCCAGAATTGGACACTTAACTGACTGAGTCCTGGTACCCTTATTTTGTTTAATTTTTAGTTTTTTTAAGTAATCTCTACACCCAACATGGGACTTGAACTCCTAACCCCAAGATCAAGAGTCACAGGCTCAACTGACTGAGCCAGCTCAGTGCTCCCTCCCACCCCGCCCCCCCCCTTTTTTTTTTTGGTCAGAGAGAAAGCACATGTCCACACAAGCAGGGGGAGTGGCAGGCAGAAGGAAAAGCAGACTCGCAGCTAAGCATTGAGCCCAATGGGAGACTCAATCCCAGGATTGAGGACCCGAGCTAGAGGCAGATGCTTAACTGACTGAACCCCCCAGGGGCCCCTCACCTCTGCCTTTTTAAAGGATCTCCCTTCTGTGCCCCCAGTGACATTTCAGGCAGGTCCCTTACCTTTAGGGTCACTTTCAGATGTGAGAAGAGTCTCATTTTCAGCTATGCAAAATTCCAGTTCAACCTAAATTCACTTTAATTTTCATTAAATTCAAATCTCTCTGTTTCTCTTATTATGGCATGGCCTGTCCTCTTATCTCATTTAGTAGAGTGTCTCCCCACCTTGTTCCCTTGGTCCATGAGAAACAGAGCTCATTCTTGCCCAGCTGAATGCTAGAACCTTCTGTTCACATCCAGCCACCAGGGGCAGTCTCAGCCAGCTTCCAGTCTACCATCTCTCTATACTCCTCAAACTCCAGGGGACCCATGTCAGATTCTCCCCAAAGTACTCCTTGACTTCCACTCCTGTCCCAGCACAGGGCAGGTGTACCCATTCTCCCAGCCCGGCAAGCATCTGACCAGGGAGTGAGAGTCCCTCATTCTTTTCCGTCTAGGCTAGCATTCCCAGTTCTCTAAGGAGTTCTCTCAAGGCCTTCTTCTCTTGGCTCTGGTAGGAGAAGTGATGTCCTAGGTGCGCAGGAAATGCTGTTGTGCTCTCTCCTCTTGCAAAGTCCCCCTAAAAGATGCATCTGCCTGACTGAATCTTTGGCCTTCCCTGCTAACGGCAGTGCGAGAGATGGTTGCTGGACTGGAATGTCCCTCTCACAGTAACACCTGTGTTCATGAGTTGAGAACCCTTCTCACTCATCTTCTACACCTGTGTGGCTCTATCATCAATTTTTATCAACAGGAAAATCTCCATCTACATCTATACAATCTATTATGATTTACCCTCAACTTCACTTTATAAAGTAGTTTTGCTAGAGATACAGAATTTCCTACTTTATTTTATTTTTTTAAAAGATTTTATTTATTTACTTGACAGAGAGAGAGAGTGATCACAAGTAGGCAGAGAGGCAGGCAGAGAGAGGAGGAAGCAGGCTCCCTGCTGAGCAGAGAGCCCGATGCGGGGCTCGATCCCAGGACCCTGAGATCATGACCTGAGCCGAAGGCAGAGGCTTAACCCACTGAGCCACCCAGGCGCCCCCTACTTTATTTTAAATGAAATGATTTAGGGGCGCCTGGGTGGCTCAGTCAGTTAAGCATCCGACTCTTGATTTCAGCTCAGGTCATGGTCTCAGGGTTGTGAGATGGAGCCCCACCTCAGGCTCCCACCTGGGCATGGAGTCTGCATAAGATTCTTCCCCTCCTTCTTCCCCACCCCCTCCACCCTGCCTGTTGTCTAAAAAATATATATATATATATGTATATATATATATGTGTGTATGTATATATATATGTGTGTATATATATATATACACACACATATATATATACAATGAATGATTTATATAGACTCTAATTTAAATACATAAACTTTAATTTAAATACTACTCTCCAGGATATTTTTTCTCATGTATCAGCGGGATGTTGTTGAATGTCAAGCACAAGTACCAACAACGTTTGTCTTCTGTCCTTACTCAAGAAGACCTGGGTGTTGTATGAAATACCAAAAACAACAAAACAAGGAAGGGGCAACCACAGAGGACAAGCAAGCAGATCTACAGTGATACATCGGCCGAATTAAATACACCCAGTCTTGTTCAATATGCCACACACAGAACTATGTACTTGTTGGATTCCCATTTTATTAGATAGAACCTACAACCATTTTAACTGGTGTGTAAAGGTCTATGTGTATTTTTTTAAATTAATGGGTTTAATTACAATTGCTGGGTGGAGAACTGCTTATTCCAGCCTTAACTAGAATTAGAATTAAGAAATAAAAAGGCTTACTGACTCACCGGAGAGTCAGCTGAGTCCATTTTTATTCTGCTCTCAAAGTAGGAGCAAACCATAAAGTAACCAAAAATGGCATGCTGGTGAATCAGTGTCCGTGGATGAATGTGTGTGTGTGTGTGTGTGTGTGTGTGTGTGTGTGTGTAGGGGCAACTCTGTTACATCAAATTGGCTGCAATAAGGAGTTTAAACATGAATGAGAGTTTCTGGAGGTGTACCGGCAGTATAATGGGCCAATTTCATCACACTGAATCATGTTAATCGTGGATACAGCTAGCTAAATAGGCCTGAATCCAAGTATTAGATGTCCAAAATGTGTGCACCTAGCAGAGTTTCAGGCTCACGTTAGGATCTTAATAAATGTTTGTGGAAGGAGGAAGGAGGCAGGAGAAAGGGAGGAAGCGGGGGAGGGGGGGAAAGATGGAGGGCGGGAAGGGAAAGTCATTTTTATTACCTCATTTTAACAACTGAGTAAGCATTGATGGGTTAATGGTCTTCCCATAGTGTGCCTAGCATGGAATTTATGCCTGACTGTGCAAAGGGAAAAAAAAAAGTAAGAGTTTAATAAAAATCATGTTACAGTAACAACTGAAAGCTGACAGCACAGGAGTTGGAGAAAGGAAGGAATATTAAACATTCAGGTTTTTGGGCACCTGGGTGGCTCAGTGGGTTAAGCCGCTGCCTTCGGCTCAGGTCATGATCTCAGGGTCCAGGGATCGAGCCCCGCATTGGGCTCCCTGCTGAAGAGAGAGCCTGCTTCCTCCTCTCTTTCTGCCTGCCTCTCTGCCTACTTCTGATCTCTCTCTGTGTCAAATAAAAAAAAAAAAATCTTAAAAAAAAAAAACATTCAGGTTTTATGTTTTTGTTTTTAACTCTGGCATTATGAATTAACTTTATTAACATACTTAGCATTCCAGAATATCAAGCTACTGATCTGTTCTCTTAAATACACCCTTTTCCAAGTCATTTGAATTAAATTACAAATATTTTTAAACACAAAGGCACTACTAATGAATAGAAAATGAGTGTTCCATTAAGGAATGTAACGTAGAATGCATTTTTACAGCAGAGCTGATGAAACAGAATTTCAGGACAAGGTAATATATTAGTCATTCGAAGTCTGGGTCATGTGCTGATTTCATAATCATTCTTTCTGTCTTCATCCCACTCTTGGACCCTGACGGCGGAGGGGGCAATAGCCATAGTCCCTTGGCACCCTCTCCCTGAAGGCCACGCCCCTCAGACTTCTCTCTCCTTCCTCCCTCACTGCCTGCTTTGGCTACCTGGTGCTGTCTACCTCCCATTTCACCCTCTTGGAGAACTCTTTAAGGACCTGAGGAGAGACGTGAAATTGCCTCATGGACAAAGTAACCCTCCCTCAGGGTGTTCCGTTGGTACTTTCTAGAACCCTCCAGGACCGCACTTTTCTCAGAGGCCATCATAGTTCTCATCCCTAGAACCCAGACTCCACGTAGAACCAGTCCATACTCACATCTGAATCCTATCTACATGTCCAACACCAGTCCAGCACCAATCTGTGTTAGATACTACAGTTTAGAATTGAACAAAACAGATGTTGTCTTCGGATTTGGGAGGTGTACCATCTTCTGAGGAAGAGCCTTCCATAAATCCACAGGGAAAACAGGAGAGTACGATGTATGCTATGAAGCAAGAATCCAGGGTGCGGGGGTGGGGGGCGGTGGCAAGAAGAGCAGGAGAGGCGGACTCTGACTGGGGGTTTAGCAAAGCTTCTCTGAGGAAGCAGCGTTTAACTTGAAGCCCAGTATGGCTTGGGTGATTCAGGTGATTTAGGCTTGAGGGAGATGCAACCGTGTGTGGAAAGTGTGGGGCCCCTGGGGCTGGATGGCCAGGCCAAGGACACAGGGATGGAAGAGGGTCCTGGGTCAAGAAGCCATGGAGCCTTAGAGGCCACGTTAGGGATTTTGTATTTTATCCTAAATGTAAACCACTGAAGGTTTAAGCGGGAGATGAATGTGAAGTGTGTACTAACGTGCCTTGTGTTTACTAGTTAGTATTGAATATTTACAAACAAATGAATGAATTAAATACACACAGTAAATCAGTGATACAGTTTGACGCCATTTTAGTTTTACCAGCTCTAGGCAGTTAGACGAATCGGATACAACTTGTTCTTGGGAAACCAAGTGGAAACTAGTTGACTTTCAGCTGCTCACCACTCATTTTTCTCTTTCTACCAACCCTTCATTTTCGTTTAGGTAACACGTCTCCCCATTGTGCGGATTCTCGGTGGCTGGCTCTTCCTTGGCTGAGAGGCAGGTTGCAGTGGAATTCCACTCCTGGGGCTTAGAGTCTTTAACAGAGGAAAGGAGGGGAT